ATGCTGCCTGGCCTGCTGTGTTCATCCAGCTCCACACCTTGTTACCTTATAACTGAATTGTTGCTATCTACAAGATGCACTATAATAGCAGGAATCAGGTGCTTTGTTTAGGAGGTTGAAGCGGGTAATGCTTACAATAAAGAGGCTCAGAAAGATTAAAATTAAATCTCAGATACTGATACAGCTACTAAATGACATTTTACATAACGCTAATATTCCCACGAATATGGGTGTGGTGTATTACTGTAATGATAGTAATGTGCAGCTTAATATCAAAAGTTGCTCCAGGTCTAGATAACGATCTAAAAATGGGAGACACTGTTCATCTATAATCGTGTTGAACGGCAGAGCAGACTCGAAGGGTCGAGTGGCCGACTCCTGCACCTATCTTATATATTTCTATTTTACAACAGTCAACAATTAAAGTCAGAATTTCTGGAGCACAGATATGATTCGTGTCAATCGGCCCATTCTGTTCGCGCTAGTCACCAAACATCTTGCCATTCTAATCCCGGGCGATCTAACACAAACAAAGATGCTCCTGCTCCAGGAAGACAGTGCATTTTGCAATTCCCGCTGTAGCAAATTTCTGGGAATCCTTTCCCTTCAATGCCCAGTAACGAGCCATCTCCAAAAACTGGGAGGTTTTATGTTTTTTTTTAAAAAGTATCCAGACAGAAAAGATGGTTGCAAACGTGCGAGTACTACTCAACACTCAGTAGTAACCCAGTTACTCTCCACCCCCTACCTGTCGACTGGAAGTGAAACAGGAACAGCCAATGAATCATTTAAATAACACTGCACAGGCGCAATATTGATCACACCCCACCACCACCCATCGAAATCAAAAAAATGCAACCTGCATTGATTTAATGCAATACCCCGCCACCAGCTAAGCGAAGAGGCCTATGCGACTTGAATCAACAATAATGGGAGAAAAGGGAAGGGCGAGAGCGTGAAATAAACAGGACCTGGACCCAAAATTCTCCTCGATGGTGTTCAGGATGTGGACTAGGCCCGTTGAGGAGCACATGGCCATCATTTGTTTTCAGGCTATATATATCTCAAAGCGAAGATGTGGGGGGAGATTGTGGTGAAACTGAAGGAAAGGAAACGAAAGGGAACACAAGAAAAGGGCCCGTCAGCCATTTTGTCGAAGTCGGTGTGAAAACAGCAGAAGGCGGCAGTGTCACACACAAACGTGGGAGCGGGGTGGTGGGTCTCAACGGTGGCGGCCTTACCACAGGCTCGCCCGGAGGATTCTTCCCCCTCCCCCAAGCCACGTCGCGCGCTTCTCTCTTCCCCAGCAATCCCTCACGCGCTTCGGTTCCATCAGGGACAAATCGGCCATCCGTTCCAACCGCGAGGATCCTCCAACCGTAGCCTGGCGCGAGGACCGAGTGAGGCATCCATTCTCGTCTCATTTCCCCACTTCACCTCAAAACACGGGCAACAGAAGCGGGCGCGCATCGGACCGAAACCGTAAACAGCATAGGCTTTTTGTTCTCTTCTTTCAATTTCCACACAGAATAATTATACAAAATCCGTTTTCTCTTTTTACCTAAAGACTTACCGAGATAAATACTGCTGTGAAAGTCAGTGACACGCAAAGAGATGTGATCTAACGTTCAAATGGTGTCCAGCAGGAAGAAGCTGAATTGACTGCGCATGCACAGTGTTTGTACCCTCTCCCCTGACGCCCACCACTGGCTAGGACTATTCCACTCGTCTTACCGTACAAGGGTGGGAGGGCTGCCGTTCATGGTACAATCCAACCGGGTCGCAGATCATGCTCACACACAGAGGGGAGTCTTAGAAAATATATCGTTCGTAACTGTGGCTTGAATGGACTTCAAATGACACTGCCGATTATATTTTAATGACACGTAGAATTAATTAACCGTATTGATCTCTCCACTCGATATTGTGAAAATTCTCTTCTTTATCCTGAATCAGCATTTACTAGCAACCCTCTTTGGTTCAAACATTTAGCTCCGTCCACGGGTTGGTTACGTTGCTCTGCGTAAGTTGACTGTTGACGTGAAAATCCCGGCAAGTTTGATGCATTAGCGGGAGGGGCGTGGAGTGTGATTGAACAATGCGTTGCAGCCACGGTGAGTGTGAGTGTACTGCTAGTGTTGCTCAGTAAACACTGCAAGGCAGTGAACTCTTTGAGAATGAATGATTCGAGCAGAACCCACCTTCACCTTTTTGCTCTATACCATGCTAATTGTATAGGCCAGTGTTTCTCAAATCCAGATGTTTTGTTTGATTTAGAGGTAGGGGTGCATCCATCTTCAAGACTGGATGAGGAGTTGAGTGTATACTATCCCATCTCAGTCACCTTGTTGTCTTAGTCCAAACTGGCTCCCTGCCCCTTGGCAAAGGTGGGGAGGGGTATTTTCAGGCTGCCGACCTGTGACTGGTGGTGTTCAACAGGGACCAGTGCTGAGGCTGCAGTTACTTACAATATATTAGTGACTTGGATCCGGAAAGTGAATGTACTCCAGCCAAATTTGCACGTGACAAAAATGGATAGGACGACCAGTGTTGATAGGTTAAGCGAGTGGGCAAAAACTTGGCAGACTGAATGTAATGTGGGGAAATGTGAGGCTGTACATTTTGTCAGGAAGAAGAGCTAAATATTATTTAATTGGAGAAAGGTTACATTTGGGAGTCCCCATCCATGAATCACAAAATGTTCAGTGGGTAAAAGGGAAGGCAAATGGAATGTTGGCCTTTTATTTCAAAAGGAATGAAGTATAAATGTGGGGAGCAAAAACAGAAATTGCTGGAAAAGCCCAGCAGGTCTGGCAGCATCTATGAAGAGAAATCAGAGTTAACATTTTGGGTCTGGTGACCCTTCCTCAGAATCATAGAATTCTTACAGTGTGGAAACAGGCTGGATGAATTCTGCTCCTATGATGCTGCTTGGCCTGCTGTGTTCATCCAGCTCTGCACCTTGTTGTCTCTGACAGCAGAAAAGGGTTTTCATTTTCTGAAGAAGGGTCTAGGCCCGAAACGTCAGCTTTCCTGCTCCTCTGATGCTGCTTGGCCTGCTGTGTTCATCCACCTCTACACCATGTTATCTCGGATTCTCCAGCTCCTACTATCTTTGCACATTAGGTGGATTGGCCATGCAAAATTGACCATAGTGTCCAGGGATGTACAGGCTTGGTGGAATAGCCATGGGAAATGCAGGGATAGGGTAGGAGGGTGGGCCTGGAGGGATGCTCTTCAGAGGATGGGTGTGGACTCAATGGGCTGAATGGCCTGCTTCCACACTGTAGGGATTCTGTGAACTTGTGGAATTCTTTACCACAGAGGTCTGTTGAGGCTGGATCATTAGTATATATGAGGCTTGAGATAGACAGACAGATTTTTGGATGATGTATAGTTGATACCTCACATACCTGAAGAATTATAAAAATCAGAAGAACTGCAGATGCTGGAAATCAAATACAAAAACAGCAATTGCTGGAAAAGCTCATCAGATCTGGCAGCATCAGTGGAAAGAAGTCAGAGTTAACATTTCGGTCCAGTGACCCTTCCTCACAACTTATCGTAGCTAGGAAAATGTTGGTTTTTATGCAGGAGATAGGATGGGGAGAGGGGGTAAGGAGTAAAGATAGGTGGTGATTGAGCCTAAAGAGAGAGATGGACAGTTGGACAGACCAAGAATGGATAATGATCAGGCTGAAAGTATGAATAGCTATTGATGGAACTGTTAGTGGCTAACATTAACTTGTGTGTGATAGCAAACTATGATAACAAGGCCTGGAGTGTAGGGGATGGGGTAAGGACATGATAGAAGCTCAAACCTTAAAGTTGTTGAACTCAATATTGAGTCCAGAAGGCTGTAGAGTTCCCAAGCTGAAAATGAGGCGCTGTTCTTCCACCTTGCCCTGAGGTTCGCTGGTCACTGCAGTAAGCCTGAATCAGATGCTGGCTGGTTGAAGTGGCAAGCAGTTGCAAACTCAGGGTCTTTTTGGCAGACAGAATGTAGGTATTCTGCAAAGCAGTCACCTAGTCTATGCTTCATTTCTCCAATGTAGAGGAGACCATGTTATCAGCGGTGAATATAGTGGACTAGATTGAGTTACGTGCAGGTAAAGTACTGTTCACCTGGAAGCTGTGTTTGCGCTCTTGGATACTGAGGAGGGAGGAAGTTAACAGACAAGTGTTACACCTTCTGTGATCACCATGGGGCTGTGGGAGGGTGTTGGGAGTGAAGGAGGAGTGGGCCAGGGTGTCCCGGAGGAAATGGTCCCTGTGGAAGGCTGATGAGGGAGGGGAGGGGAATATGTGTCTGGAGATGGCAGAAATGGTCACTAATGATCCTAGCTAATCTAGCTATTCGTACTCTACTCCGTTATCTGTCCAACTGTTCTTCTGTCTCTTTGGGATATGTCTCTACCTATTGTTTTTTCTTTAGCCCCTCCCTCCCAACCTATCTTCTGCACAAAACCAGCATTTTTCTAGCTACCATCAGTTCTGGGGAGGAGTCACCGGACCCAAAACATTAACTTTGATTTCTCTCCACAGATGCTGCCAGACCTGGAGGGTTATCTCCAGCGCAGTCTTTGCAAAGTTCTGCAGATATCTGTCTGGATAGGCATACCAATGTCAGCATCCTTTCTCAGGATGCTATCCCCAGAATTGAGGCACATATGACCAACTTGAATGTGCAGGCTACATTGTCCATGTGCCTGACACAGACTCCCAACATAAGTGTTCTACTCCTTCACTCCACAGTGGTGAGCAATTGCTAAGAGGGCAGAGAAAATGTTACAAGGACACCTTGAAGGCCTCCCTAAACAAATGCATCATCCCCACTGACATGTGGGAATTGCATGCCATGGAATGTACAAATTGGAGAAGAAACATCTGCAAAGGCACCAACCACTTCAAGCATCAGTGAATGGAGCACATAGAGGCTGTGAAAAGAGTGCACAGAATCCAGAGCATCTAACCCACCTGCCTCACCAAACATCACCTGCCCACCTGTGGTAGAGTCTGCTGGTCCAAAATTACGCTATTCAGCCACTGCAGAACCCACAACCCTTTGGGGTGGAAGCAATTCATCGTCAACTTTGAGGGGCTGCCAAAGAAGAAGATACAGATTTTTAATCAGTAAGGTGATCAAGGCTTATGGCTAATAGGCAGAAAAGTGGAGTTGAGGATTATCAGATCAGCCATGATCTCATTGAATGGTGGAGCAGACTCAATGGGTGAGTGACCTACTTCTGCATCTATGTCTTATCATCTAAAATCTCATCTCTGTTCAAGAAACCCCTGCTGTAGCCCTTCTTGCTTCATCTCCTCCATCGAAAGGAGGCCACTTAGCACTTCAAGTGAGATGGTGGTTGAACTAACTCTTGCCCCATCTCCCTTTGGTGAACAAAAATATTAATCTATTTTGAAATGAAAAATCAATACAGCATCAATTTCCATCTGTGAAAGGAAACTCCAAGCTTCTATCACTTAACGTTTCAACCACCATATGACCTATAACTTCCAGCTCCAGTCCAATGTGTGTCATGTGTGTTCAATTATTGAACCAAAACTTGTGCCAGTGCTCTTTCCCTGCTTCAAGTATTTATGCAACTTCCCTTTAAAAATATGCAAAATAGTCTCTACCTCCCACTACTTCTGGGACACAGTCTACCATGCTTTAAAAAGCAAGTCTTACATTTATGTGGTACCTTTTTAAAAATCACCAAACAGCCTAAAGCACTTACAGCCAAAATATTTCTGAACTGTGGTCATTATTATACTATTAAAAGCATTGTAGCCAATTTGCAAACAGCAAATTTCCACAAAACAGTATCATGATAATGACCAGCTAATCTGGTCTTGTCTTGTTGATTGAGGATGCACTCAAATGAGTGCAGTGAAAAATTTGTAATGCCACCTCTCCGTGCCATCTTAGATACAGATACTTTAAGTGTTGTCACAGAATTGAAATAGTGAAAAAATAGACTAGCATGGGAATACAGAGTTTAGAAGTCCAGAATGAGAATACAAGGTGTCTTTAAAGTACTTTAAGTTATAGTCCTTTTTCCAACATCAGTCCGTGCCCACCAGGCTTCAGAATATGAGGCCACTCTACCTCTACGAGCTGGCCTCTGTCCAGGACTTGGCCTCCAGGATTCGACATCCCAGCCGGCCTGGGGTCCCTCTGCTCCTCCTCCAGGCTACAGCCTAAGACTCAGCTCCCAGCTTGGCCCGCACCCACCCTTCCTGTCGCTGTGGGATGTGGGATGCGACATACGCCCGCCCTTCCTGTCGCTATGGGATGCAACCTGCACCGGGATGCTGCCCGCAACTCATTCTGTGCTCACTTTGCTCCCCGTCCAGGCTCCAATTCATTTGAAGTAGTGCTTTCAGAACTTTTTCAGCTGCCTGAGAGACAGTGAAGCCTGGTTTATCATTATGCTTGAGAACTTGCAAATCCTAACAGCATAGCACTCCTGAGGATCTCCACTTGATGGTTAACTTTAATTTAATGTTTGTGGATTGGAACTTGAATCCACAACCACCTTACTCAGAGCAGAGCTACCCACTGAGCCAAAGCTGACATTATAAACAATATGCTGCATAAAATATTTTTCCTAATCCTGCCCCTGTAGTAAATTGGTGGATCCTCTTCTCTGAATTCCCTAACCAGAGGAAGTAGTATTTCCCTATTCAATGTTTTAAACATTTGATATTTTAAAAAATTGAATCATCTCTGTTCTAGTAGGAATGTTTTCTACTTGTAAAGGTTTGTATTATAAAATAGCCTGTGCCCCCATGCAGTGAGACCTGAATAACATTCAGGCTTAGACTGCTAAATGGAAAGTTACATTTGTATCACACAAGGGCCAAATAATGACTATCTCCAACAAGACTGAATCTGTCCATCTACCCTTTAGATTCCGTGGTAGTAAAACATTGAATTCTCCTTAACATTCTGCATGTCCCCCTTGATCAAAAATTCAACTAGACCACCCACATAAATACTGAGGCTACTAGAGCAGATGAGCGGCTGTGAATTTTGGGGCAGAGTGTTTTATGCCGTGCCTGCCCAAAGCCTGTCCATTCTCAAGGCACAAATCAGGAATGTCACAAATCATAGTCATATAGCACAGAAACAGACCATTCTGTCCAACCAGTTCATGCCGAACATAATCCTAAAATAAGGTAGTCCCACCTGCCTGCTCCTAGCCTATATCCCTCCAAACCTTTCCAATTCGTGTACTTATCAAAGTGTCTTTTAAACATTGTAATTGTACCCACATTCACCACTTCCTCAGGAAGTTCATTCCACACGTGAACCACCCTCTGTGTAAATAGATTGCCCTTCATGTCTACTTTTTCCTAAATCTCTCTCCTCTCACCTTAAAAATGTGTCCCCTAATCTTGAAATCAACCATCCTAGCAAAAGGACAACTACCATTATCTCTATGTACACCCCTCATTATTTTATAAACTTCTATAAAGTCACCTCTCAACCTCTTATGCTCCAGTGAAAACAGTCCCAGCCTATCCAGCCTTTCTTTATAACTCAAACCTTCCATACCTGGCGACATCCTGGCAAATCTGTTCTGAACCTTCTCCAGCTTAATGATGTCCTTCTTATAACTGGATGACCAGAACTGGACACAATATTCCAGAAGAGGCCTCCCCAATGTCCTGTATAACTTCAATACGACTTCTCAATTCTTATACTCAAAGGACTGAGCAATGAAGGCAAGCATGCCAAATGCATTTTTAATCACCCTGTCTATATGTGATGCAAACATCAAAGAATTATTCACCTGCACCCCTAGGTCCCTCTGTTCTACAACACTAGCCAAGGCCCTACCATTAATTTTATAAAGCCCTACCCTTGTTTGTTGTACCAAAATATGATACTTCACATTTATCCAGATTGAACTCAAATCTGCCATTTCTCAGCACCTTGACCCATTTGATCAAGATTCCTTTGTAATCTTAGAAAACCTTCTTCACTGTCTACTATGCCACCAATTTTGGTGTCGCCTGTAAACTTAGTAAACATCCCTAATGTATTTTCATCCGAATCATTTACATAAATGACAAAAGAAGACCCAGAACCGATCCCTGTGGTACACTGCTGGTGACAGACCTCCGGTCCAAAAGGCAACACTCCACCACTACTCTCTGTCTCCTACCGTTAAGCCAATTATGTATCCAATTGACAAGCTCATCCTTAATCCCATGTGACCTAACTTTGCTAATTACTCTGCCATGCAGAACCTTGTCAAAGGCTTTGCCATAATCCAACTAAACAACGTCTACTGCCCTGCCCTCATCAATCATTTTGGTACCTTCCTCAAAAAACTCAATCAAGTTTGTGGGACATGATTTTCCTCGCACAAAACCAAGGTGACTATCCCTAATCAATTTTTGTCTCTAAATGACCATAAATCCTATCTTTTATAATCACCTCCAACAATTTACCCACAACCAAAGTCAGACTCGGTGTGTGTGTGAGGTCATGCACTTTGGTAAGACAAATAGAAGCATGGACTATTTTCTAAATGGGGAGAAAATTCAGAAGTCTGAAATACAAAAAGATTTGGAAGTTCTAGTCCAGGATTCTGTCAAGGTAAACTTGCAGGTTGAGACAGTAGTTAGGAAGGCAAATGCAACTTTGGCATTTATTTTGAGTGGACTTGAAAATAAAAGCAGGGATGGACTTCTGAGGCTGTATAAGGTTCGGTCAGGCCACATTTGGAGTATTGTGCGCAGTTTTGGGCCCCGTATCTCAGGAAAGATGTACTTGCCGCAGAGTGGGTTCAGAGGAGGTTCACAAGAATAGTCCCAGGAATGGAAAGCTTAACGTATGAGGAATGTTTGGGGACTCTGGATCTATACTGATGGAGTTGAGAAGGATGAGGGGGGTGATCTAATTGAAACTTGCAGAATACTGAATGGCCTGGACAGAGTGAATGTTGGGAAGATGTTACTATTGGTAGGAGAGACTAAGACCCAAGGGCACAGCCTTAGTGTAAAGGTTAAAAGAAGACCTTTTAGATTGGAGATAAGGAGAAACTTCTTCAGCCAGAGAGTGGTGAATCTATGGAATTCACTGCCACAGAAGGCTGTGGAGGCCAGGTCATTGAGTATATTTAAGACGGAGATAGATAGGTTCATGATTGTCAATGAGATCAAGGGTTACGGGGAGAATGGGGCTGAGAAACTTGTCAGCCATGATTGAGTCTGCTCCGCCATTCAATGGGCTGAATGGCTTAATTTCTGCTCCTTTGTCTCAATGGCTTAATTTCTGTTCCTTTGTCTCATGTTCGATAGTTTCTAGGTTTCCTCTTACAACCTTTCTTAAACAAAGGTACAACGTTAGTTACCTTCCAGTCATCATGCAACTCACCCATAGTTGATGCAAATATTTCTGCAAGGAGTCTCTCAATTTCCTCCTTTACTTACTACAACGTTCTGGGATACATTAGATCACGTTCTGGAGATTTATGCACCTTTATATTCTCTAAGACCTCCCGAACGCCCTCTTCTGTAAAATGAACTGTTTTTAAAACATCAAAATTTAATTCTCTGCATACTCTAGACTCCATTTCTTTCTCCACAGATGGAAAAGCTGCCTGGAAATGCGCAGCTCCTCGCTCAAGAAGCTGAACACCATCAAGACAAAACAGTAAATTAATCAACACCCCATTTACCAAATTAAATATCTACTCCCTCCAGCGCTGACTTTAGTGTGTTCTATTTACAGGATGTACTAGATGAACTTGCCAAGACTTATTCAGCAGCACCTCCCAAACCTGTGAAGTGTATCACCCAGAAGGATGAGTTCAGAAGGAGCATGGGAATGCCATTACCTTCAAATTACACACCATTGCAACTTTGATGCATAATGTTTCCTCACCGTTGCTGGGTCACATTCTTGGAATGTCTGTCTTATGGTATTGTGGGATTATTTTTATCACATGGACTGCAGCAGTTCAGGGAAGCAGTTTACCACAACCCTCTTTAAAGCAACATTGCATTGGCAAGTAATTTTATCTTTGATGTTGACATCCATGTCCTATGAATGAATTAAAAATAAAGGAGCTCAAGTGTCCTCATAATAAGTTTTCCAACCAGTCACTTTCCTAGTTAATCTATACTACATACTTCCTACGATCGTCATGCCCTTTGTGTAATGGGTGCCCAAAACTGCACACGCTGACCAACATTTTGCTCATGTACTCCATGTGCCTATTTATAAAAACTCCAAATTCTGTTGAATGTTTATGACTTGTTTAAAATACATATTCAAAACCCTGGATGTCTATGTTTATTCATACCTTTGATGTCTTTTTCCATTAAGTATATTCTACTTTTGCATTTTGTCTCACAAAATACTTTACACATTAAACTGCAGATGCCATCAGCCTGCCTGTCCTGCTAATCTGCTTGCATGATCATGAAGTAATTTGCAATCCCCTCACTGTTTCTCAGAAGTTCTACTTTTGAATCATCGGCACATTTTAAAACTGTGTTCTTGCCAATGAAACCCAAACTGCTCAACCTTTCCTCGTATGATAACCCTTCATTCACAGGAATCAGCCTAGTGAACCTCAGCTAAGCTGCTCTCAAAGCAAGCATATCTTTCCTTAAGAAAGAAGAGCAAAAAAATATGCAGTATTCCAATACCTTGTATGGTTATAACAAGAGTTCACTACTATTATATTATCATTCCCCTAGGAATAAAACTGAACGTTCACAGAGACAGGGTATTACAGCACAGAAAGAGGGCCTTCATTACATTGTGTCCACATCAGTCATCAAACATCTATCTAATCCCATTTCCTAGCACTTTCCTTTGGCCTCGTCAAATATGCTGTTTCAAATGTATGTCTAAATACCTGTTAAATGTTGTAATGCCCCCTGCTGCTATCAACCTTTCAGGCAGTTAGTTCAAGAAATCCACAACTCCCCTCAAATACCCTCTAAACCTCCTACCCCTTATCTTAAATTTAAGCATCTGGTAATTGATCCCTCTAATAAGGGAAAATAGTTATTCCTATCCACTCTATCTATGCCCCTTAATTTTGTCGACCCCAGTCATGAATCCCTCTGCCTTCCCTGCCTCAAGGGAAATGTTGTAACCTGTATTGTCTCTCTTCGTAGGTGAATCACTCCAGCCCAGGCAACATCCTAAGGAATCTCCCCTGCACCCTCTCCAGTGTAATTACGTCATTCCTGTAGTGTGATGGCCAGACTTACACATACTACTCCAGTTGTGGCCTAACCAACTTTCTACATAGCCCCGTCATAATCTCTAAACTCTAGTATTAAGTGTATTGCCTAATAAAGGCAAGTAGAGATAGCAAGAACTTCAGATACTGGAGTCAGAGTCAACACACTGTGAAGCTGGAGGAACACAGCCGGTCAGACAGCATCAGAGGAACAGGAAAGTCGACGTTTCGGGTCAGGGTGTAGTTCTGATGAAGGGTCCTGACCCAAAATGTTGACTTTCCTGTTTCTCTGATGCTGCCTGACTTGCTGTGTTCCTCCAGCTCCATACTGTGTTGACTACTAAATGCAAGTATCCATAAGGGTTCTTATCCACCTGTTCTGTAACCTTCAAGGATCTATGTAAATGCACACCAAGGTGCCATTGATCCTCAGTACTACCCAGGGTCCTACCATTTGTCATATACTTCCTTGCATTGTTCGTTATCCGGAAATGTATTTTTTCATACTTTTCAGAATTCAACTCCATCTGTCACTGTCTATCTGTCCATCTTTATGTAGTCTAAAACTCCCCCCTTTCTATTTACCACACCAGTAATGTTTGTCATCTGCAAACTTAATGATAAAAACACCTATATTCATTTCTAGATCATTACAAACAGCAAGGAACTCCACAATGAATCCTGCCATCAGCATTGGACAAAGGCTTCCAATTACAAAAACAACCTTGAAACAACACTCTCTACCTCCTGCCACTAAGCCAATTTTAGATCCTGGATCCCAAATCCCAATTTTCTTCTCAATTGCTTGCTATACTTATTTCTTTTTGTGTATCATGTACAATGACACCCAGATTTCTTTACACCACTGTATTTTACAGTCGATTCATTTAAATAAGATTCTGCTCCTTTTTTGTTCTTCCTGCCAAAGTGGACAATCTCAAAAGACTCCAACTGCCAAATGTTTGCCCAGTCAGTAATAGCCCTTTGCAAACTCTGTGTTCTCCTCATAACTTGCTTTCCTACGTATCTTTGTATCATCTGTAAATTCGTCTCTGGTACAGATGCATAGCCCAGTAAGAGCTTAGCATCCTAGCCTTTCTGAAGCCATTTTCATCATCTACAAATGTCCAGGTTTCCTCTTCTGTCTCCACGTATATCTGTTCAGGGTGCATACCTTTGCAAGTTACAATGTGGTAGGATATGCTGGATCTCAGTAGGCTCCCATATTGTATTATAAATGGCTCTAGAATGATCCAGGCATTGGCTGCTTCAGAATATCAGAGAGTTTCTCAATAACTATTCAAGTAGGAGTGTGAAGGCAGACCTAATGTCACTCATGCTTGGACCTGCATTTGAAAAACCCACTAATCAGTGGGAGGGTACACTCAACAGTATCAATTAGATCCTGTTGAACCTGAAAGATCATGCACTGAATTTTACGCCAATTGCTGTTATTTTATTCTGTCACAGACAGAATGTACATGCTCCCTTACCTCCTAAAGCCAGTATGTTTTATGTAGAGAGAGGTGAGTCTTTTCTTAGTCTTAGAGCATGCATTTCGATTAAATAATTTAGCAACAAGCTGTTGTGAGTTTACAAAGAAAGGATCTTTATTCTCACATATTTAGCCAGAATGAATGCCATGTCACACCCTCAGTCTCACACACACAGTCTCACACACACAAACACTGGGTACAGATAAAGGAAGTGGAATAGATTACAATTAATTACAATTAATCTTCAGTCAGCAGATCCAAAGTTTCTTGAATATATTTGTTTGTTTAAAGTTGAAGTGAGACAAGGTCTTGTAACGCAAAGCATTCACAGAAGGTTGTGAGTTTTTTTAAAATTATTCACAAGATGAGGAATAGCCAGCTTGCCAGTATTTATTGCCCATCCCTAATTGGATTTGATCATTCCTGTGAGTCTGGAATCACATACAGGCCAGACTAGGTAAGGATGGCAGTTTCCGTTCCCAAAGGACATTAGTGAACCAGATGGGCTTTTCCAACAGTTGGCAATGGAAGTGTGGTTATCATTGGACTCTGAATTCCAGATTTTTATTGCATTCAAATTCCACCATCTACCAAAGCAGGATTTGAACCCAGGTCCCCAGAACATTGCCTAGGTCTCTAGGTTAACAGCCCAGCAATTATACCTCTAGATCATTGCCTCCCCTTGTAGTCAAATAGCTGGGAGATTGGTCCTCAGATGAACTTCAAGTTGAAACATGTCGGGGAGGCCTTCTCTGTTGGTATCTCCCAGATTCAAAGTATTGCTGATAATTACCTTGACTGCTTGATGTCTTGCAGCTAGTTCATGGTCTGGATTTGTGACCAAATAATGACTGATAACTAACTGCAACCAATACTTAACTGATTTTTAAAATAGCCAAAGAAGACGTGGCTTTTCCAAATAAGGTATGGTGTTCAAGTTGAAGCCACACACTGTGTTGTGGATCAACAGTTTCAGCCCACTCAGTCTGATTTGGACAGAAAGGCCTTTGTGATACAATGGGAAGTCACTGATGACTATTGAGTTTCCGTCTCCCCATTTGTCAAGTATGAACCATGGAGAGGCGATAGTCTCTTTTTGTGTTGGGCCCTCCAAGAGATATGTGAATTCCGTGTATGTCTATGAATGTCCGTGTTTAATTAGATATCTCCTGGAGACTTGGATTGTAGTTCAAATGCCAAAAGCAAATGATTTGCATCAATTGTCTTGAATGATTTTGTCAAATTTTTAAAACTATTAACTGAAAGTTCATAACATGATATGCATATGCTGGGTATGACACAAACACTCTGAATGCTTGAAGGACAGTGAACAAAACATCCATGTGGGATGGACTGATTGACCTGGAGCCCCTCTGTTAAAGTAAGTGTGACAGTGTGGAGTAACATGGGCAAACTTGTTTGGAGCCATTTGACAGCCTTGTTTGTCTATTGGTGAGAGTGAGAATCAGAAGAATTTAACTGATTAAAGCTCTGTTGCAGCTTTTATTTGTTTGATTATGAATATTTTCAAGTTCAGGAAGTATATAAAGCTGTGAATGAGTTTCTTTCAATAATATCAACAATTTTTGTTTATCTAGCACTTGGACTAAGAATCTATTTATATAGAAAGAGCATCTCCAGTAGGTGGGAGCTTGATCTTCCTAACCACACCATTTGCTGCAGGAAACAATCAAAGTGTCAACCCTGCCTCAACTATAAACACAAAGGTGGAATTTTCCATTTTAACCCTTACAATCACCTTCCAACTGAGAGAGGGTAGGTGATTCCAAGATAGTTCTCAGACTTATTCTGAAAAAGAACAATTAATGGATACTCTCGTCCTTAGTCTGTTAAACTTTGATTTCCTAGACCACCATTGGGTAGGAGGGAAAAGCTGATTGAGGAAGCAATAACTTGTTGTGGACTCCTCTCTGATTCTGCGTTACTGTCTTCCCTTGCTTTGCAGTTCTTTGTCTCTAGTAAGGCTTATAAAACAACTGACTTTGTGATCTTTAAAGATATTTCTGCCCCTTTAATGGTTTTCTCTTCAGAAGCTAGAGTTGGCGGCAGTTTGAGCTGGATGGAGGATTGGAGGGGGTGGCAGGAGGAATTGGCAAATGTTGTGACCAGGCAACGGTGGACTCACTGTTAGTAGCAAAAATTACTCCTGGAACCAGTCATATATACAGCATGAGTGGGGTCAGAGGGATGTTTGAGGTCTCTTTCCCTTGGATCAGCATTACTGGAGAAGCTGTTGGCTGTAAAATTATAACATGCTGAAATGCAAGAAGAGAGATTTTAAAGAGAGGAGCTTGTCGAGTTGTGGTATATAATTTAAAAGACATACAATGGCAGCAGCAAATACAATGGAAGGATGAATCAGGGGTTGAGAGATTGGTCCTATGTAATGTAACTGAAATGAACAGAAGATTCAGAATTAGGGGCTCCCCATTCAGTCCTTCGGGCCTGCTCTGCCATTCAATAAGGTCACAGTTGTTCTGGTTGTGTTTTCAACTCCGCTTTTCTGTCTGC